TTTACACTTCTGGCTTTTGAGGAACATTTGAGGGTGGTGTCAAACTCATGACTATCACAGAAGAATATTCATGCACAGGTTTTGTGTAAATCCAGTTTTCATCTCCTTAGGGTATACACTGGAGTGGGACTGCTGAGGATCAGATAGTAAGCTTATATTTACCTTTGTAAAAAATTACCAAATCACAGGCTAAAGAGATGATGGCTCACTGGTTAATAGTACTGGCTGTTCTTGCAGAAGACCCTGGTTTGAATCCCAGCAGCCACATGGCAACTAATAACCGTATATAACTCCAGTTCCAGGGGATCTGACACCTTCTTCTGTCCTCTGCGTGCACTGCACAACACAGGTGCACTTGCATACATGCACACAATGCACACATACACATAAAATAAAAATAAAGCAAAAAAATTATTTTAAACAAATTAGCCATGCCTTTAATCCCAGCACTCAGGAGGCAGAAACAGGTGGATCGCTGAGAGTTCAAAGCCAGCTTGGTCTATATAACAAGTTCCAGGTCAGCTGGGGCTACAGGAGACCCTGTCTCAAAAAAAAAATAAATAAATAAGCAAATCACTCTCCAGAGTGGTTATTGTATTACACATTCCCATCAGAAGTCTATGGGAGTTCCAGCTGCCCTGGCCAGCATTTGGTATTGGCAGTAGTAGGTATCTGAGTCATTCAAATAAGCTTGCAAGTAATAGTAACATTATTTCTAGTTTGCATTTTCCTAATGGCTAATAATGTTGACTATCCTTTCTGGTGTCTCTCTCATCTGCTGTGTCTCTGCTGGTCTGTTCAAACCCTTTATCCTTTCTTAATGGTCCTTTGCTTTCTTGTTGAATTCAGACTTCTTTTTATATGCTGGAGACAAACACCCTGTTGGAGCCATAGCACTCACATACATGTCTTCTCCCTTCAGTCACATGGTGTCTTTAGCACTTAAATGATTTCTTGAAGTCCTGTTTATGCTTTTGTGGGTTGTTTGTTTGTTGTCAGATCTTGCTTTGTAGCCCAGGCTGGCCTTAACTCTCTATCCTCCTGCCTCAGCGTCCCGAGTGCTTGGCGTGAAGACATGGTCACCGCTCCAAGCCGTGTCTAATGTGATTTCTAAGAACTGTTTGCTTGACCCAAGTCATTGAGGTCTATGATTCATTTTGAATTCATCTTTATGTAAGGACTAATCTTTATAGAAAGTTGACTTCCTTTTCTGCAGTAAAGCAATCAATCTCATATCATGAGTTGAAGATCTTTTTTACAATAGGTTGTGTTTATACATTGTCAGAGATCAAATGACCATATTTATATAAATCTATGACTGTACTTGCTATTTCCATTTATCTCTGTTTATATCTTCTGGTCAGGTCTCTTTTGACTAAGCAAACAGACAAATTTGTCATGCTTCCTGAGCAACTGAGGGTGTGACCAGGAGGGGGCTTTCCTCTGCGTGTCCAGGAGCTAAGAACTACCAATTCCTCCAACTAGCTCTTTCCCGCAAACTCCTGACTCAGATATCCACCCCAGAAACTGAAGTGAGCCATTCAACAGTTACCGGTTAGCTTCATAGCATGGGGGAAAAATGAATAAAATGAGATGTCCACTTCCTGAAAAGGCTTCTTCACTCTCACAGATTCTCCGGTGATGGAAACTTAAAAATAGACTAGCCTCACAGGACTAGGAGCAGCATCCAGGATTCTGGAAAAGTTTTGGGCAAAAATACATTGTTCTTTATTTGAACCAGGCAGAGAGATATGAAAATGGAAACACCTTTTACTATTTGATTTGAAAATAAAGTGTCATCCAAACCAAAACAAGAACTTGGTCACATTGACAACTGTTCTCTGTTAAAAATAAGTCTTTGGGTTGCCTTTTGGCCCTAGTCCACTGAATGAGAAAAACATGCTATTGATTTTGTATACTGGGATGGACACACAGGAGACCCGGGCCCTGTCCCTGCCCAGGCCACACTGGACCACTTCTAATACTTTCTGCTGTGAGGCCTAATCATTTTTGGGGAATGACAAGCCAGAACTCACAGTCTGGCCTCTCCTACTCTTTCCTTCTGGTCTCAGGCCGTGCCTGCGCCCTTGGTGTTAAGAATACATTTGTTCACTTCTTCCAGAAGGGTTCCACTCTTTCTGGATGTGTGGGGATAATCACTGCAGCTAGGAAATACTGTAATGTTCTTAAAATGGCTAGATGCAGACTTGATTTCACAAAGACACGTGGGTTCTTGGTTTTCAGGACCCAAGTGGTGTATTCTCATTACTGGGACGTTTTTCAGCATTCCTGACAGCATTAGGCTGAGAAGGACGGCTTCCTTCAGGTGTGGGCACATCTTATCCTGTGGCTTTGCTCTTTCTGGGTTGAAGTCAGCTTTTTGGGAGTTTTGTTCTGAGGGGGTTAGGTGTGTATGTGTGGGTGTATGATGTATGTGTTCATGTGAATGAGTTCCCTTGTATTTGAGTGTATGGAGGCCAAAGGTCAACCTCGGGTATAGTTCCTTAGGAATGGTACACCTTTTTTTTTTTTTTGAGATAGGATCTCTCATTGACTAGGATCTCCCCAAGTATGGTAAACTAGCTAGCCAACAACTCCCAAAGATCCTCCTGTCTCTACCTCCCCAGTACTGGGATTACAAGTGTGTGCCACTACACCCAGCTTTTTACATGGGTTCTGGGGGATCAAACACAGGTCCTCATGCTTGTACAGCAAACGCTTTACCAACTGAGCTGTCTCTCCAGTCCTGGGTATATGCTCCTGAAACCACCCTAGGTCCAGCCTCTTTCCATTGCTACACTGCCCTGATTTAGTTTATATTTTACCTTGCCCACAGAAGCATGGGATCTCTTGCCTGAAACTATACAAAAGATCAAGTTCAAATTACCTCAGTGTGAGAGGAGAGGAGACAACCTTTTGGTGGGGCTGTGAGGAATGACCTGTTGCAAGGTCTTTTCCCTTAGCAAGCAAGGAAAGTGACCCCCACATTTTACACGAAGGGTCTTTGTCTTCCTTGGATAAAGGAGATCATGAAGATAAATGTTTGCTAAGAACCTATCTTGTGCCACATTCTCTGATAAACTCTTTTATGCCAGGCCTCTTGTGAAAGAAGATGGTAACTGAAGTGATCACAGGTACATGTATGTAATTTAACTTATACTTTATGAAGGAAGTTTATGCATCTTAAAATATGTATTATAGATGGATGGACACATGGATAAATGGAAACACAGACTTTCCCATTTGTCTGCCCAAACTGGGATCATTTATTTTGTTTGGAGGTGTTTTGCTTTGTTTTTTCTGTTTGTTTTTAATTTAAATTTTTTATTTTTGCATTTATTTTTATTTTGTATGTATTCATGTTTTGCCTGCATGTGTGTAAGTATACCTGTGGGTGCAATGCCCGAGGAGGCCAGAGGAAGGCATCGGATCCACTAGAACTGGGGTTATAGATAGTTGTGAACTGCCATGTGGGTGCTGGGAACTGAACCTGTGTCCTCTGCAAGAGCAGCCAGTGCTCTTAACCACGGAGCCACCTCTCCAGTCTCTGTTTCTGAGACAGAGTCTCACTATGTAGCCCTGGCGGGCCTGAAACTTGCAATATAGACCAGGCTGGCATTAAACACAGAGCTCTGCCTGCCGCTGCCTCCCAATTACTGATATTGAAGGTGTATACCACAATGCCCAGCTATTTTGGATTTCTGAGACAGGATCTTACATGTAGCCCAAGGTGGCCTCAAACTCAAAGCAATTCTCCTGCCTTAGCCTCCCAAGCACTAAGATTATAGATATGAGCCACCATGCCTGCCTAAATATCATTTTCTATACTATTTTTATAGTACAGTGTCATTAATTTTAATGAAATCAAATAAATATTCAGTAGCATTATGGAGGCCCAACCTAGTGTCAGACACTGAGGCTTCACTAGACAGAGCAACAGTCCTGGTCTGTTTCAGATTGCTCAGCATTGACTGTTTTTTATCCTTATCTTGTCTTCTGAGATGCTGGATTTGAGTCTATCCTAGATTAAAGGAGATCTTTGAAGGAGTAAGTCCAAGTTTGTAACCCTGACATACTTTAACAAATTTACACATTTAAGATCAATTTGTATCAAGGCAATCTTTCTCCTTGACATGAAAATTCCTGCCACTAAATAAATCAATAGAAACATTTCTGTTGGGACCTGGGGGAGCAGGATTGTCCCAAGATTCCTCAAGTTGAATGTCAGGTCCAGTGTAAGACTGTGAATACCTTGGGCTGGAGAGATGGCTCAGTCAGTAAAATGCTTGCCTTGAAAGCATGAGAATCTGAGTTTGAATCCCTAGAATCCATGCAAAAAGCTGGGCACAGTGACCTATGTCTGTAACCCAGTGATGGTGAGATGGGAGATGGAAACAAACAGATTCCTGGAAGCTTGTGGGCCAGCTCTGGTCTGTAAGCCTAAGTACCAAAACAAAGGAAGAGTCTGTCTCAAAGGTACAAGATGCCGTAAATAAAATATTTTATCAAACTGACTTAAAAATATGAATCCTTGGTCCTCATAATCTTATTATATACAGCACGCATGTGGAGGTCAGAGGACAACTTTTTAGTATCAGTTCTCACTTTCTACCATGTGGGTTCCCAGGATCAATCCTGGGTGGTTAGGGTGGGCAGCAGATAACTTTACCTGTTGAATCATCTCTCTGGCCCTGTCCTAACAGTCTACACTGAGCTGAAGCTGGCTTCCATGTCATACTTGCCTTGGGTGTGAGTCATAACAATGAGGGCATTTATTTCCTGAGGAAAGAGGAGAGCCTGAATTAAATGGGTCCCTCTCGGTGGCCTAGCATGCTGCCTCAGGCATACTCATTACTCAACTGAGTTTTGCTGACCTGTTGTCCAATTAAGCAGAGATCTGTATCTTCCAGGGGAATTGGTCTCCACCAGCCTGTCTGAACAGAGCTGCCAGAGCCTGTCTGTGGACTGCCCCAAAGGTACCATGGAACCTTTGTCCATGAGGAATGGAATCATGCAGTGAGTATGTACATATGACAGGATGATCTTCTGCATGTGTGACCAGTTGAAATGAGACTCAGGCAGCTGCTCTGGGCCTATGATGCTTTGATCTTCTCCCAGGCTCCCCAGGTGGCTCAGCTCTTTGCTTTCCCTTCTTACATTTGGAAAGTGTCATTTGATACAACATTTTGATCAGCTGCAGTACCTGAGTAACAGAGAGGGTGGACACCAAGCCCCAAAGATCAAGGAAGATTTGGACTTTTGATCCCAAAAGCCCAGGGGAAACTTATTTTATCAGGAAAGTCCCTGGAAAGGGCAGGGACTCTAAGTTAACGATTCCAGTGAAAACAGAAGTCAAGAACAAAAACAAAATCACATGGGGAAGCAGGGATTTTGTGAAGTTGAAAATGACTGCAGAGAAAGACTTCTCAAAGGCAGGTTAAGAGGAAGAGGCTCTTGTTTCGTGAAAAACAGACAAGGTAGCTTGGCATGATGACCAGGGTAATCAATAGAACCCAAAAGGTAGAAGAGTCTGGAATATTTGAGAGCATATGACATAAAAAGAAGGGGATTCTGGTTACATAGAAAAGCAAGTTGAAAATCAAGACAGTTTTGAGGGGATTCTGGAGGGTCGCTGCGGAGGGAGGAGTTTTTCAGAATTCCTGTCAGGCTGTGGACTGCTAGCCTATGCCTGGAGAAAGCCACCCAGGCCTGGGAAGGAGGTGGGTGTGGCTCTGATGCGGCTCTCACCTGGCACTGTCGGGGAGGATATGCAAATGCGGGGCCACGGGAGAGAGTAGAAAGGCTTGGGTGGCTGTGGTCATTGGAGGAACGTCATTGGAGGAACGCCGAGGAGGTTGGTTTGGGCTGCTTGCCTGGAAGCTTTGTTCAGATGTGAGCCAGGCTCCAAGCTCTGCTGTCATTTCTTCAGACCGTCTGATAGCAAACTGTGATATTTACCAACTGGGCTGGTGTGGTTTCTTTTCATTCTCTCTCTCTCTCTCTCTCTCTCTCTCTCTCTCTCTCTCTCCCCAGCCTGTCAAACTGGGAACTTACTATTTCAACTAACATGAAAACATGAATTTTACTGGCAAAACCAGATGTGTCCTGGACTCTCAAGGGGCCCGATTTTAATGCCATCCTTTAAGTGGGAAGAAAGAAATTATATTCTAAGGTCAGCAGGTGAGCTGCAGAATCCTGTCTTCCATCTCTCTGCGTGTGTGTGTGTGTGTGTGTGTGTGTGTGTGTGTGTGCACGCGCGCCTGTTTGTAAGCCTGCCTCTATGTATACGCGTGTGTGCGCCTATGTGTAAGCTTATCTCTGTATTCTAATGCCTAGTCACTTATGCTGAGCATAATGATCAGTTCCAGGTTCCAGACTGCTTGTTTGCAATTTCCTGTTTGTTTATGGTACAGAAGGTAAATCAATTGCAGGATTTTCTGGATTGGAGGGTAAGGGCTGTTTACTGTCAACAGGATAAGGAGAAGGAGATATAAAGATACTGAGCTCTGGGGTACATCTGGTGGCAGGACAAGAGGACAGAGGGGAGGGCATAAGCCAGCTTAAGGGCTTTCTGTCCCAAGTGGAATTTCTGAGAATTTGAGTTAGGCACAAGCTGGAGAACTGCTCTTTAAGTGAAGCAGCTGTCAGAACTAAGTGGAGTAACGGGCAGGTGGACTTCAATTCATTTTCATCAACTCTCCTTTTTAATCTTGTAATTCCTTAAAAGATGGCAGACGGACACTCACAATCTGTAAAGGAGAATTCAAGCGAACAGAGACGGGGCCAAGTCATTGGTGCAAGCTCGCAATTCCGGAGAAGTTTCATCCAGAGAGTTTCGCTACTGGGAAAGCTGCCCACAAGTTTTGTCCTCCATCGTGGAAAAAACCATAAAGTTGCTGCTCTACTTGGGATTGACCAAGAAGACATGAAATCTCTTCCTGAGGGAGACCTAGAAGATGACCTTCTCAATAAGGTAAGAGCAGGGTGGGCCTCTCCTGTGCACACCCTTTCCATCTCCACTTACTAACACTGATCTGGAAGGGCTTCTAAATATCCTGTGATGCTCCTCAGGTTCCCAGGACCACACTCACAGCATGTTGAGGGGGCTCACACAATTCAGTCTCATCTCTGAGAGTCTAGTGCCCAGGAGCACATTGGGCATAGAATGCAGAACAGACCATGGCTCTATCCATCACTGACACTTATATGGTCAGTTAGCCTGCCTGAGCCTCAGATTTCCTCTCTATAAGATGAATTAAGTCACTGAGAAATGATGAGTTAGGCACAGGCACAGTGACATACACCTGTGATCACAGCACTTGAAAGGTAGAGGCATGAGGATCAGGAGTTTGAGGGTAGCCTGGGCTACATAAGACCCTGCCTTAATAAAAGAAAAAGAGCAAATGAACTTAAGACAAAGATTTTTTAAATTTTATTATTTTATTTATGATTTATTTTTATTTTATATATGAGTGTATTGCCTGCATATAAGTGCACCTGTGTCATGCAGTGCCTGAGGAGGTCAGAAGAGGGCATCAGGTCCCCTGGAACTGGAGTTATGGACAGTCATTAGCTCTCATGTAGTGCTGGGAATTGAACCTGGATCCTCTGCAAGAGCAGCCAGTGCTCTTAGCCACTGAGTCATCTCTTTGGCCCCAAAACAAAGATTTTTAAAAACTATGAAACAAGCCAGGCGTGGTGGTGTAGGCCTTTAATCTGAACACTTGGGAGGCAGAGACAGAGGCAAATCTCTGTGAGAGCGAGGCCAGCCTGGTCTACACAGCAAGTTCTACGCCAGCTGGGGCTACAGGGAAACCTGTCTCAAAAACAACAGTAACAAAACCCCCCAAAACAAGGTGCTAGCTTAAAAGAAAATTCTTTCATTTTAAGTTGACTGAATAGTGGCCCATGCCTTTGATGGCAGCAGTCAGGAGGCAGAGGTAGTTGGATATCTCTGTGAGTTCAAGGCCAACCTGGCCTACACAGTAAATTCCAGGGCTATATAATGGGAGCTTGTCTCAAAAAAAATTTCTTTAGTGTATATTACCTTAATTTTTTCTATGTGCAATCTGCGTACAATGCTGGAATTTGAAGGCTTAAACATGTTTTAATTTAAGCTGTTCTGTTTACACATGAAGTTACTAAGATGTGTTGTTAATGTTTAAACTAAGAGGTTTATGTTGAGAGTCAGGGACCAGTCTCTGGTTTTCCTGCCTTTATAGGTAAACAGAGCAAAGATCGCTATCACATGACCACTAAGAGAGCACAAAGAACCCCCCACCCTGTGTGGGTAAGAATTAAACAAAGTGATTTCCCATTATTTAAGGGGTACTGAAGAGAAGTGGTACTGGCTGGCATCCTCCTAGGGTCCTGGGTTTTCTATAGGATATTTTCCCAGATTTCTTAGCTTGGCATTCAAGTAACTTCACCTGCTCTAGCCTCCTACCCTTTGCCTCTTGGCGGTCTCCAATGTGGAATCCTAAACAGTGCTCCGCATGTGGAATCCAGCCTGGGCCCATGTTTTGTTGAATCTGTAGAGCAGTTTCTAAAATTTTCTTTTCTGGGCATTCCAAAACATTGAGACTTCTGCATAGAAATCTGGGTGTCTATCTCCTGTGGGGATAAAAAGAATCAGAATACCTGACAACCACAAGTCCCAGTTTCTGGCCTGGAAAAAAATGAACTAAGATCAATGTTAGAATGTGAACTGGCCAGTTCTCAGTAGGAGTCAGACACTGCCCTCTTTGCCCCTCTCTCTCATGTCTCTGGGGGTGGCTGAGTCTCCACTTCTGCCCCACCAGAGCTGTTGCCCTAAGAAGATCTCGGCCCCCGCCCCTCCTCCCACTCAGCTCAGAGGCTCTCAAGAGTCCCTGGCACCCCAGCATTAAATGCTTTTGCCCTCCGGGGAACTCCTATCATAATTATAACTGACACTGTTTATTGGACAAACAGTTGTACACCAACTCCTGACACTTTTCCTAGGACTGCTTTGGCTGGTGACTTAAACCTTGTATCATTTTACACTTTCCAAGTTTCTGGAGAGAGAGTAATGTCTTGAACAGCTTCCTTTCCTTCCATAGTCACAGAGCATCTTGCATATGTGCGGTCAGAAATGTCTTCAGAGTTCCCTGACGATAAGGAAAGATTACCAGGGAAGGTGCTGACAAGTTGAGGCACATATAATACTTCATTTAACGTAACCATCAGCCAACCATGAGATGCACATGTGCCCTCCATTCCTACAAAGGAAGAAAGAGGTTCATGGGATGAAAGTTGCACAGATGGTGAAGGTGATGAGGTTCCAGCACAGTCTGGAGGCCGTATTTTCTTTGCCACAGATGCACACTGAATCCCTACTTTATGTCAAACCCTGTGCTGTGGTTTGGGGGAGCTCAAGACCTGAGGTGTGGGCTACTAAATGGGAAAGGGATGGCAGGCCATACCTACACATAAATCCCAAAGATGAGGGAGGAAGTTCTGTGTGAGGTCGGTCAGTCAGGGCTTGTGGAGATCCCTGGAGAGTACTGGAAATAGGAAGGGCATTAGTACTAATGGGAGAAGTGGTCCATGGAAAGAGGAATGGAGATGAAGACTTAGAGGATGTGTGAGGTTTCAATAAATAAAAGAAGGTCTTTCAGGTGGAAGGAACCCCATTTACACCCTCAGCTACCCTCAGTTTTTTCTCAGCTACCCTTTCTTTTGGGAAAGCAGACCAAGGATGAGGTGGCATATACGGCCTTCAGTCTGCAACTTACTAACTGTGGTGCTAGCTACTCCTCGAGCCTCAATTTCCCCATCTGTAAAATGGGAACCATCGTAGTACTGCAGCAAGGGAGGCTTAGGTGCACGTGCTCTTATTAAGTATGTGGTAGGTATCCTGGAAGGACCAAGGAACCTCAGCTCCATAGTACTACTGCTGCTGCATCTGGGATTCACAAACACTGGATGCTCCAGGCATTCCCCTCAGAGAACTAATCTCAGCAGATAGGGATGTGATGAAGGAAGACCCTCCATCTCCTTTGTGTCTAACACTGAATTTAAATCTCTATCCCTTCAAACCAACAGCCCCTGGAAGATGGAGAAGGTGTCTATTTCTTCCGTTTAAGGCAATTCTAGGATTAAAGGCTCAACTTCCTGTTGTCTGGAAGGGAGCTCTCAGGCATTTTTCCCCCATGCCCTTATAGTGGACAAAGCTCATGGCAGACTACCTGTGCTACGTGTGGCCAAGCCCTGAAGAACTTTTCCAGCAGGCTGTATAGTGCCCCTCTGCTTCATTTAAGTGAGGGATGAGTCACTGTAGTGGTAATTATGGGGAACACTCTTGAATTCCCAATAATTTATATTTGAAGCAGTAAATTATTCACAAACTTGAGCTATAAATAGTAGCAAATGACTTCTAAGACAGCAATAGGCCAGAGGCTGTGGTTGGGAAGGAGGGCGGGGAGGGAGCCCAGGACAGGACCCGGATGTGTGCGCAGGCACGTAGACACACCTAGAGAGAAGAAGACCTCTGTAAAGCTATGGCACTGTGGCCTGACCTGCCGGCCCAGATGACCTCAGAGCACCCAGCCTCCGGTGCCTGGTCAGTTTAATACAGTTCGGCTCTTCCTAGGCTCTGTCACACCTACAAACGCAGTCTTTGAAAAGAAGAATGAGCTTTTGTTAGTAGACTTAATCAGCCCAGGGGAGTGAATTATGCTGGGTAGGCTCTGAATTACGCTTTGTCTCAATTTTCCACAATTAGCCTGTCTCCCCCTTAGACTTATTTTCAAGCTTTTCTTTCCCTCAAATAAATTTGGTTATAAGACTGCCTCGAGGTCACAGCTGTTGTCTTGGTGACTTCCTGATGTTTGAGAAACAATAAAGGGATTCTGGGATTGGGCTCAGAGGGTCCTCTACCTGGTACAGGTAGATTTGCCTTTTACCCAAATCACCCTCCATCCTATGCCTCAGGCCTTACTCTTTGCGTTTCCAGATGGAATCCTCTTGTTCTGTCTGTCTGGGTTCTGTCAGGATCCACAAAGGGCAATAACTGAGAGGAGGGGTGGGGTCTAGTTGGGGTTTACAGCTTGGGACTGAGCCTGGGAACCCCAGCACAAAGAATTTTGGGGTTGTAGATTGCTCAGTGATCTGTAGAAGTAAAAAAGCCTGCCGTTGCATGTGTGGACAGAGATGTGGGAGGAGCGAGGCTGAGCGTCATCTACTGAGAACTGCCACCCAGCTCCTGAGGCTCAGGCACTGCAGAGACAGACTTGTCCAAGGCTCTGGTGTATGCTTGCATCACTGTCTGGCCCCTGCTGGGTTAACCTGGTATGCTCCTGGGATGCAAGAACAGTTGGTCACACCCACATAAGTGGTGGCTTTGGACTCTGTTATTTCACGATCCCTGACCCCAAATTGAGGGCCTTCTCTAGGTTCAGGAAGAGGATAAACAGCAGGTATTATGCCCAGTGCTTCTGTCCTTGAGGGTGTGGTGAAGAGTGCTAGAAAAAGGAGTTGGGGAGCATTTGGTCTAGTTCCACTTCTAATTGTGGGTGTGACATTGAGAGCCTGTTGTGCTGGGGCTGTGTTCAGTGACACCAGGTAAGACTGTCTGGTTCTAAATCCTAAATCTAAAGTGCTGCAGAAGTGATAGAGGGTTTGTAGTCTCAGCTTCCAGACAGCACTCCCTTATTCTGACTTTCATCTTTGCAACTCTAAGCACATTGGGGTGATGAACTAAGCACCCTGGATAATGAGAGATTACAGGTGCCATCCAGAATGTGTGCTCTCTTGCTCTGCCCCATAAAAGTCCACCATCAATGAAGATACAATTTTAGAAGAATATCACAATGTACAACTGCTTTCCTCCTCTCCCTCCTCCTCCTCTTCCTTCTCCTTCTCCTCCTCCTCCTCCTCCCTCTTCCTCTTGCTGCTCCTTTCCTCCTCCCTCTCCTCCTTTTTCTTCTTCCTCTCTCTCTCTCTCTTTCTCTCTCTCCCTCCCCTCCCCTTCCCTCCCCCCCTCATTTTTATCATCTAAAAAAGGATTTGGAAGTATCAAACAGTAATGAATCTTTCCTTAGTTTATTAACTCATATATATAAATCTCTCTCTCTCTCTCTCTCTCTCTCTCTCTCTCTCTCTTCTCTCTCTCTCTCTCTCTCTCTCTCTCTCTCCCTCTCCCTCTCCCTCTCTCCCTCTCTCTCTGTGTAATTATTGAGTTACTCATATTCAAGTTGTGAAATCACACCAGTACACTTAGAGGATTTGGGACTTTTGGGAGTTAGCTTGGTCCTCCATGCCTTCTGATAGTGCTGTTCTACCTAGCCAGAACATCTCGCATTACTTTTACCTTGTGTTATGCATAATGATCTTGTATCATTTTTTTCCCACAACACCTGATTAGCAATCTAGTCTTTGAACTTGTTCAGTGCTCTCTGATCCTTCAGCCTGGCTTTCTTCATTCCCTCTTTAGGCTGGAAAATGCAACTCATTACTGAAACCCCACCTTGCTTCCATTCCTCCACTCTTGCACAGCACACCCCAAATTCAGCACCTCAGCTAGACCTGGAGGGCTGCAAGGACTAGACCTGCGGACTCTCTCACAAATGAACCTGTTCCTTTCCCTAGGGGGCCCCACTGTGGCCCAGCCTCCCTACTGCCTGGCCATCTTTATACCTGTGCCTGAGCTCTTCCACATCCTTTAGGAAGCTTAGGAAGCTGGTCTACGGTCTGTTACCCGAAGTCCCCTACCTACCACCTCTCCAACTTCCTGTGTGCATTGTTGCCTTGTCTCCTAGCCTATAAAGCAAATAGATTCCAGGCAGGAAATCTCTCCAATTCCTGCCATCCCCTTCTTTTCCCTGTATCTCACCCTTTTCTTTTTGAGGAAGCGTGGTAGTGAACTCATCCAGATTTGCATGACTTCTTCCTCCTGGGAAATCCCTCCTCAGTGGCTTTGCTCTTTGCGGCCTCTTCCTCCTCCACTAACACTTTCCTTGGCCTCTATACATACGTGTCCAAGCCTGTGTGTTGTTTTGAAAGAACCGGTTACAGCCCCTGCTGCTTTATTTTGATCTGTTTGCTTCCATGGTCAAACTTCTCAAGGGGTTGAGAATCTCGGTCCTCATGTGCTCTTCATCCTGTTCAGACTGGGAAACACTAAAGACATCTGTGGGGCACTTGTGAAATTCATCTTCCTTTATTTGCAAAACATGCCCCCAACCTTTCTACCCTCCTCCAAGGCAGCCTCTGCTTCAGCGGTATCTCAGGGACCATCGTAAACCTCCCTCAGGATCTTCCAGCCCGTATACAAGCCATTTTCTCTTTCTGGAACATCTTTGATGACTTTTTCTTCCTACTTTCTCTCTCTCTCTCTCTCTCTCTCTCTCTCTCTCTCTCTCTCTCTCTCTCGCCTCATTGAAACAGGGTCTCATGTATCCCAGAACTCACTGAGTAGCCAAGGATGACCTTGAAAGCCTGATCTTTCTTGCTTCTGTCTTCAAAGTGCTGGGATTGTATGTGTGCACCACCATGCCTGCTTTATGTGGTGCTGGGGACAGAGCCTAGGACGTTGTACATGCCAAGCAGGCACTCTACCAACTGAGCTACATGTCTAGCCCCCTAGCTAACTCCTTCTAATCTTGCCTTCTGCTTCCAGGAAGCACCCTCAGCCTCCAAACAAAACAACTCTCCCTTGGGTATCCATAGCATGCTACACGTGCCTTTCCTCAGCATCAGACAGTGACCATTCTAATCCCTCTTGCTTTGTTAGTCCATCTGTAAATCTCTTGACCTGTAGCCTACAGCCCAGGAGAAGTGGAAGTTCAGTAAAACCTGGTCAGATGGAGTTGAATTGCAGCACAAAGAGGGAGTCCTATCCTACTGAGGACCTTCAATCACAGGTTTCTAAAAGCATCCTCCTTTATTTTTGGCATTGTGGATGACCTTCCTCTCTGTGCTCATCCCTCATCCATCCACTTGCACAGCCTGGAAGAGGCAGGGCTAGGCATTCAAGTAGGGCACCCTTGGCCCCTTGGCCATGGTGAATATAGTGGGGAGGGCATTTTAAGAATGGAAATGGAGGGGGGTTGGCTGCTGGTGGTAACAGGAAGGTGTCAAAGCCTAGTACTGACATGGCTGTCATATTCTGTCGACCTTCCCTCAGCCCAAACTCCGCTGCTACCCGGGAGACCATTGTGTACCAGTCCCCACCGCCCGGGAGCCTCCCCTTGGCCCGAACTCTGCTGCTGCCAGGAGACTGTTGCATACCGGTCCCCACTGCAGAAGGCTGGGGCAAGTAGAGAGATTGATGGGGCAAGAGGGCCCTCAGGTGGCAGCGAGTGTATGACGGGAGAAAATACCCAGGAGACTGTGTCAGCAGACAGTTCATTTTAATATGGCGAAGAACTTTTTATAGGGAAATTTCGTGGATAAAGAGGCGGGGGTGGGGTTTT